GAGGAAGATTGAAGAAGGGCGGGCAAGACAGAGGGGACCTGGCACAGAAAAGAAGTTGTGGGGGTGGTAATAAAATTAAATGCACGTTACCTTGCGGCCATCCCTCTGGACCAAGGGGTGTGGGGCCTCCCGCGGCAAAGCAACAACAGGCTCTCCAGAGGCAGAGCAGAAGAACGGAGTTTCTCATCCTTCCCCTTCACACCCGCTTCCCCCAAAGAGGGCTTTTAAAAGGACAATAAACAAAAACACCTCTCGGAGTTTCCAGCAGTCTGAGCCTGTAAGAGTCGAAGTGGGCAGCCCCCTCTCAACCAGAGAGTGGCCTCAGACAGCCGAAGGTGGAGAAGGTGGAAAATGAAAACTTGGCCAAACTAAGCCCGCGGTGGAGGGAGTGGGTTATGAAGGGGCTTGAACCAGAACCAGATCTGCCCTCACGCGTGCCGCCCGCGCGGGAAGCCAGGGCTCGCCACTGTCACACCGCGAGCGAGGTAGTTTTTTAAAGTATTGAAGTCATCTGACCCATCGCCAGATGGCGATTTGCATAATTTATTCCCTTCCCCGGACTCTGATTGGTCACACCTTCGCTGACGCCCGAACCAAAGACTCCCCAAAGTTTGAATGAAAGCGCCGCACACCCACCGCGTGGACGCTCCGCACGCGCTGCCTCGCTTCCTCCCCAGCCGGCTCCGCAGACAGCCGCGCTGCAGCCACCCCACTTTTTCCAAGTGCCTCCTCCCGGACCCTAGATAATCCACTCGCCCCTGACACCCCAGGGGGAACATTGCCCCAAACCCCTACTCCCGCTGCGGATGCGAACCCTGGAGAAGGAAGGCTATCCTCTCCAAAGCAAACCCCCCGTGCCCGAAATAATCTCTCCTCGCCCCGCGCCAAGTGGCCAGATGAAGGAGAGCCACCTGGTCAACCTGTGGTCCTTCTTTTCTCCCTTTCCGCTTGCTTTCCTGCCCAGCGAGGCCCGCGACAGGTGCAAACGGCGTGATGGGACAATAACTCGCAGAGCTGAGGGGCTCCGGGCTGTGGCCTGGGCTTTAGGATCGCTCAGAACCCTCTTGGAGTCCTTGCTCCGCCGCTAGCTGCAAAACCCAGGGCAAGTCATCCAACTTCTCCAAGGCCGTTACTTCGTCCCCAGTACGAGAGTGGTAACCGTTCCTGCCGCTTAGGGATGTTGGGGAATTTAAAAGACACAGCGCTTAGTGCGGCGCCTGCCACGTGGTAGGCACTATCGCACCGGGGGATGGACAAGAGGGATGCCAGGCAACACTCCCCAAAGGGAACAGTGAGCCAAGCTTTGGGGGGGGTGTCTCACGCGTAATCAGCGCCAAGTTTCCGCCAACGTGCACAACTACCTATTCCGTGGAATTAAGCATTTT